ACCGACGCTTCCCCACGCCCCTCCCCTGTGGCCGTGCAGGGACTCGTGGGGACGGGAGGGAGGCAGCACTGCAGCATGGCAATCCCACTGCAGCAAGGGAGAGTATCGGGATGGGCTTGGCCTCTCAAGGTAAGCCTCGTACCTCTCTTTCCCGCTGCACTCGTTTTCTGCTAACTTGCCCTCTTGCGCTCATCCCTTTGATTCTCCCGTGCCTGTTTCAAGGCCTGCACTCACTCCCCACTTGACCTTCCCTTCCGTTCTGCCCCCCTCCAGGTCACTCGCAATGCAGCAGAGACAGCTGTGGCAGCGTCAGCAGCAGGGGCGCGGAAGCAGTAGGGGAGGGGAGGGGAGGGAAGGGGACAAGAGGCAGCATCTCTCGGCGGCTCTTCAGCTGCCAGCTAAGTGCTCTCACCTCCCTGGACTCACTCTTGCCTGCTGCTCACTGCTCATACTGAATCACTCTTGTCGTTTTCACACTGTTGCTTTCTTGCTGCCAGTTCCTTTGCCGGTTGTGCATTCGCCTTCCCTTTGAAACAATGCCACTGGTTGAGCACGATTTGCATGCCTCAGACCCCTCAATTCAGGTAACCCCCTTAGGTGCAGTGCAGGTAACCCCTTCAGGTGCAGGTTCACCCCTCAGGTTCTTTTTCAGGTGCCCTTGGGTCTGCAGCTTGTGGCCGTGCCTCCACCAGTGGCTCCTCCTCCCTTCCCTTGCGCTGGATTTCAAGTCACATTTTCCCCTTCAACTTGCTCCCACCACCGCGCTCTGACTAGCTCTGTGTGTGCGCGTTGCAGGTGGCGGGGAGGGGTGTGGGGTCAACACCGACGCTCCCTCACGCCCCTCCCCAGTGGTCATGCAGGGAGGGGGGCAGCACTCCACTCGGCTGGGATGGAATGGGAGAGTATCGGGATGGGGTCGTCTGGAACAAGGTGAGCTTCTTTTCCCTCATGCACTTATGCTGCTGCCGATCTTTTTCCCGTGCTCGCTCTCGTTTCTTGCCCTCTCCCTGTCTTCATGCTGCTTCCTGCTCTTCGTCCCATTCTCACTGGTCTCACTTGCTCCCCTGCCTCACTCCCTCTCCCTTCCCTCCCAGTAAATCCAATGCTGTAGCAGACCGGCAGCAGCAGTAGCAGCAGCAGGGGAAGCAGCAGCAGTAGCAGCAGCAGCAGTAGCAGCAGCAGAAGCGGCAGCAGCAGCAGCAGCAGTAGCAGCAGTGGGGGCTGAGGGTCTAGAGGGCAGACTAGGGTAGATATAGCTGCAGGTGAGATATGGTACTAGGTGTGGTATGGTAACAGGTGAGGTATGGTAAGCTGATCCTCTCCTCTCTCTCTTCCCCTCCTGCAGGCAGAAGGTGGGAGCAGTGGAGCAAGGACGGGAGAGTGAAGTGCACCCTCTTACTCACCTCCCCCCCTCTCCCTTCTCCCTCCCTTCCCTCCCTTCCCTCCCAGCAGCACCCTGCCTGGATCACAGAGGAGTCCTGGCCCCCCCCCCCGCCTCCTAATTACCCCCTCCTTCCCAGCAGCCTCAGCATCATGGCGTTCTGCACGGTTCAGGTAAGTACAGGTAAGTAGAGGTAAGGAGGCATGCGGGTGAAGTGTGGGGTGGGTGGATGGGGAGCACGGGAGCAAGTGGGGAGTTCACTGCCTTAGGGACAGCATATCCTGGGGTTGTGTCTTGTGGTGGTGGCGAGTGGTGGGTGGAATCTGCGCGGCACGGCACTCGGTGCTCAAGTAACCGATCTGGCGTTCAAGGCCTAATGGACACCGTCAGAGCCGACCGGCCGGCGGCTCTGGTTCGCGTCAGCTCTGGCTACGTCAGGGGTGGAATTTGAGTCTTGGGCTGGAAGCAATTTTCCACCGCCACACTTCGCCCCACAAGGCATTGCCTCAGGGGGTGCTGTTTCCAAAAGGGGGTGGGCTGTCTGCTGCTCCTACTGCTGACAGGTAAGATGGGGAGGGGCTGGGTGGGTGAGTGAGGAGGGGCTTTGAACCCCTTGGGTGGGTGAGAGGGGCCTGAAACCCTTTGGGTGGGTGAGTGAGGGGAAAGGGGCTGAGTCCCCTAGGGTAGGTGAGTGAGGGGAAAGGGGCTGAGTCCCTAGGGTGGGTGAGTGAGGGGAAAGGGGCTGAGTCCCCTTGGGTGGGTGAGAGCAAGTGAAAGGGGCTTTTGTCCCCTTGGGTGGGTGAGTGAGTGGGAAGGAAGTGAGGGGGCTCTCTGCTGCTCCTACTGCTGGCAGGTAAGATGGGGAGGGGCTGTGTGGTCTGGGTGGTGGTGGTGGTGGTGAGAGGCAGTGGGTTGGCTGTGCCATATGATGAGCCGTGTGGCAATGATGCCACTTGTTACTGGTGGCACATGATGAGCCCTAGGGCACTGATGCCACCTGTTGCATGAGAGCATGATGCTCATTTGGGTGGCATGGGATGAGCCCTAGGGCACTGATGCCACCTGTTGCATGAGAGCATGATGCTCATTTGGGTGGCATGGGATGAGCCCTAGGGCACTGATGCCACCTGTTGCATGAGAGCATGATGCTCATTTGGGTGGCATGCGATGAGCCCTAGGGCACTGATGCCACCTGTTGCATGAGAGCATGATGCTCATTTGGGTGGCATGGGATGAGCCCTAGGGCACTGATGCCACCTGTTGCATGAGAGCATGATGCTCATTTGGGTGGCATGGGATGAGCCCTAGGGCACTGATGCCACCTGTTGCATGAGAGCATGATGCTCATTTGGGTGGCATGGGATGAGCCCTAGGGCACTGATGCCACCTGTTGCATGAGAGCATGATGCTCATTTGGGTGGCATGGGATGAGCCCTAGGGCACTGATGCCACCTGTTGCATGAGAGCATGATGCTCATTTGGGTGGCATGGGATGAGCCCTAGGGCACTGATGCCACCTGTTGCATGAGAGCATGATGCTCATTTGGGTGGCATGGGATGAGCCCTAGGGCACTGATGCCACCTGTTGCATGAGAGCATGATGCTCATTTGGGTGGCATGGGATGAGCCCTAGGGCACTGATGCCACCTGTTGCATGAGAGCATGATGCTCATTTGGGTGGCATGGGATGAGCCCTAGGGCACTGATGCCACCTGTTGCATGAGAGCATGATGCTCATTTGGGTGGCATGCGATGAGCCCTAGGGCACTGATGCCACCTGTTGCATGAGAGCATGATGCTCATTTGGGTGGCATGGGATGAGCCCTAGGGCACTGATGCCACCTGTTGCATGAGAGCATGATGCTCATTTGGGTGGCATGGGATGAGTCCACATGGGTAAGTGAGTGGAAGGAAAGGGGGCTGAAAATCCAAGGGCGGGTGAGTGGAAGTGGTAGTGAGAGTGAGAGTGAGGGGTGGTGTTAAGTGTGATGCCACACGATGCCACTGCACCACCATCACTCCCGCCATCACCCTCCACCAACATTCCCCACCACCAGCACAAGGCTGGGAAAGCAGGCTGAACCCAGCCTCATAATTGTGGGAGGCAAGATAGGTGGGATGCAAGATTGGGGTGCAAATCCCCAACCTTAGGCAATTTGTGTTACGCGGAAAAAATTCCTATTCAGTCTTGGCATGCCGTCAATGCCTCCTGGTTGAGGCAAGGCAGTGTGACACAGAAAGGCCCTTCCTTTCTTTGCCTGCCTTCAACCTAGGGGCCTCAATTCTGCTGCCTCGCTGCTGTTTTGCTTGAAACCAGTGCCACTTTCTTTCAGATCCAATCTGTTGCTACTCTGTCGCTTTACCCTCCGGTCCTTGATCCATGAGGTGGTGCGGGTTGTTGGGACTGGTGGTGGTGGTAATGGGGAGCAGTGGTGGTGGTGGGGGATGCTTGTGGTGGTGGAAATTGGTAGTGTACTGTGTGCATGCCATGTTGTGGCAACGCATGGTGGCTGCATTGGAGGCTGGCACCGCACTGGATGGGCCAAGGCAAGGCGGGTTTTAGAGACGTCTCAAATGCATGGCAACGCATGGTGGCTGTTACTGGAGGTTGGAGGCTTGGACTGTGTGGGCCAAGGAAAGGCAGGCGACCAAGAGAGTGGGTGGGACGGACTAGTATGGTCTTTACTGTTTTCAAAAAAAATCATCGCACAATGTTGAATGATAGCAACAGATTATACTTGTATGCTACAGTATACGGAAGTTCCTTTAGTGCAATATCTGTGTAACTTCCAGGTGTTTTTTTTCTCTTTTATTTTTTATGTATGGTGCTCTTTGTTAAACTGTAGCACCACTGCGCTGCAGGTCTTGCAATGGAAGGTTGCTTGGAACACCAAGCAACCGCGCTGCACCTGGAACTCTCTTCACACCTGCAGAAACAGTTTCTGACTGACACCCGCACAACGCGCGCTTCGACTCCTTACCACCTGACAGCTCCCATAGCTATCGTAGAATGCGCCTCATCCGCAGCTATCCGCGCGTCTCGTAATCGTCGCCAGCCGCGCGAGCAACGTCAGCAGACATGTTTGTGAAGAAACCGCTTATGATAGTCGACTAAGGATTCAACGCCAGCGCACGTCATGCAGTAGTGAAACTGTTTGTCGAAGTCAGAATTTGATGTGAACGCGTCAGCGCGCGTGGCATGTCGGCGGTGAATCTGCTAATCTAAGTCAGGCTTAGAAGTCAACGCTGCTCCGCGGAGCTGCTCCGCGGAAATGTCGGCGGCGGAGCTGCTGCTCTAGGTCAACTTGAACCTTACCGTTCAACGGAAGCGCGCAGCCATGGCGGGGGCGGAGCTGCTGCTGCGCGTGCCGATGCTGCTCTGCGCGGCGTCGCTCGAGCTGGGCGGCTACGCGCTCTCCGCGCTCGTCTTCCTCTCCGGCCTCCTCGCCGGCTTCGCCGCCGCCTACCTCCTCCTTATCTACCCGCTGCCGCTCACCGTCAAGGTAGCCTGCTAGCCGTGAGGTTACCGTTCTGGCCATTAGGGTACCGTTCTGGCCGTTAGGGTACCGTTTCGCCGTCTAGACACTCCTTTCGCCGTCACGGCACGCCTCTCGTCGTAATGGGGCCTCTTTGGCCGTCTACTCTGCCTTTCGCCGTCAATGCGCGTCTCCCTCCCTCGTTCCGCCCTTCTCGCCCTCCCCGCCCGCGCGCGCGCGGGCAGGAGGTGGGGCAGCGCGCGGCGCCAGCGGAGGGGGTGGACGGCTGTGCGCCAATGCGCGTCTCTCTCCTCCCACTTTCCCCCGCTCCTTCCCCCCTCTCCCCACTCCGCGCGCGCGGGCAGGAGGTGGAGCAGCGCGCGGCGCCAGCGGAGGGGCTGGACGAGAAGGCGCTGAGAAGGTTCTTCGTGCACCTGCCGCCGTGGGTCAGCAACCCCGACTACGAGCGGGTGAGCGCGAGGGAAGGCGGGCCATGGGGAAAGGTCAATGGGGGAAGGGCAATGGAACTCCATCCATGATTGTTGTGCCTGGTGGTAGCTGTGTCACAGTGTGCCTTCATCTTTTCCTCCTGGTACCCCCAGACAATCCGAGCCGCTTTTAAAATCTCACAAATGCTCCGCGTGCACTCCCCTCCCCGCTCTCCCCCGCATGGCAGGTGGATTGGCTGAATCGAATCGTGGCGGAGATGTGGCCCTATGTCAACAAGGTGCGCCTCTTGTTCTATCCGCCTCAAGCATAGTTGTAGCTGTCTGTCAACAAGGTGCGCCCTGTGCCCCTCAAACCACTCACCCTCTCAACCACTCCCGCGCTCTTGCTTTATGCTTGTCCTCTGATCAGCACGGCACCACACGCTGTGTGTTCTCTTTCCGACCCCTCTTCCCACTCCTCCTCCCCTCTTTTCTCCTCTCCCTTTTTCTCCAGGCGGTATCAGAGGCGGTGCAGAGGGATGTGACGCCTCTGCTGCTTCAAAACAAGCCCGCCTTCCTGCACTCGCTCTCCTTCTCCCACTTCTCCCTCGGCCCCCTTCCCCCCGCCATCATCGGTGCGTTGCTCCCTCCTTCTCCCGCCCCCACCCATCACTATCACCACCAATGCGTACCATGAAGTCAAGTCACTCATGGCACATGGAACACCACATGGCAACCCCTGTTATCCTCATCCTGTTTCATCCCGTGCCATGCCCACCTGCCATTCCGTCTCACCCCACCTCCTGGCACATCAAGCCGCCCACTAAACCGCACAGCCCTGCCCTCGAGCCATCAAATCCCTGGAAACACACGATGACGAGGTGATCATACAGCTGGTCATGCGCTGGAGCCTCCCATCACCTCGCACAACCCCCATCCCCACCCACCCCCCCCCCCAACCAGCCATCAAGTCACTGGAGACACACGACGACGAGGTGATCATTCAGCCTGTCATGCGGTGGGCGGCCAACAACAACATCGCCGTCACTGCCTCCCTGCACGGCTTTAACTTCTCCGTACAGGTGCGGCCCCATTGCTCCTAGTTCCTCGCACCCTTGTTCCCTGCTCCTCCCCTTGTATAGTACATACTTATAACATCACGTGCACGCACGTCTATATCTCCCATCCCCCATCCGCGATCTCCCCTGTCCCTTATGGCTGCTCTGCTCCTCCCCTCAGCTCACGGATCTGCACGTGAGGGCAGTGGCACGCATCACAGTGAAGCCGCTCGTGTCTGTTCCCCATCTGCCATCCCCCATCCGCCATGCCCTCTGTCCCCTCATGCCCCTCCCCTCAGCTCACGGACCTGCATGTGAGGGCAGTGGCGCGCATCACAGTGAAGCCGCTCGTGCCCGTTCCCATCTCTCATCCCCCATCTTCCATCCCTCGTCGCCCATCCATTTCCCATCACCAATCTTCCGTCCTACCTTTCCCTGCGTGGCTGCTCTGCTCCTCCCCTCAGCTCACGGACCTGCATGTGAGGGCAGTGGCGCGCATCACAGTGAAGCCGCTCGTGCCTGTCTTCCCCTGCTTCTCGCGCATCACCCTCGCACTCATGGACAAGGCAAGTCGGGGGGGCTCATGCATCAGGATAGTAAGATGGGCGAGGGGGCTTCGTGCACAAGGCAAGGCTAAGGTGCGACATGCTGGGTTAGCTTTTGAGTCGACACAAAACCATGCAGGTTTATGGAGTCATGGACAAGGCTGGTGCATTCTCTCAAAGGCCAAGGCGAGTGAGGCTGGCTCGTGGGCAGGGCGAGTGCTGGCACAACCCATGTCCTTCAACTATTCACCCCTCCTGTTACTCGTCTCTCTCACCTCACTTTCAGACCCATTCCAACCTACGTCCTGTCCTTCTCTCCCCTTTGCCTTTTATTACACCCTGCCATTATACGCACTCACACATCACCATCACCACCAGCCCCACGTGGACTTTGCTCTACGCCTGCTGGGACTTGACATCATGGCCATCCCCGGCCTCTGCAACCTCGCCCAGGTGTGCCTCATGCCCATGTTTTGGGTGCCTCCTCGCCCAGGTGCCACCTCGCCCAGGTGCATGCCTTGTGGTCCGTGTGCCATGCCTTGTTCCCCATGCCCCATGTCCCATGCGCCATGACCCATGACCCATGCCCCATGCCTCGTGGTATGCTGCCATGTGACGCCATGTGACGCCATGTGATGCCACGTGACTCCATGTGACTCCATGTGATGCCATGCTGTAGGCTTTATAGCCAGTCTATGGCCTCCAAAGCTCCCCTCTTTCCTGCATCCCATGCCCATGGGCCATGCCCATATCCATTCCCATGCCCACACCACACCCATGACCACGCCCACCACAGAATCTGATATCAGACGCTATAGCGGCCCTGTATTTGTGGCCCATGCCCATGCCCATGCCCATGCCCATGCCCATGCCCATGCCCATGCCATCCCTTCTCCCCACCCACCCACCCGCATGCCCCACCAGAATCTGATATCAGACGCCATAGCGGACCTGTATTTGTGGCCCAAGACCATCGAGTTGTACCACGAGGAGCCCAAGTGAGTGCCGCTCTTCACTGAACCCATGCTCGCTTTCTCACCCCGTCACATCACATCACATCACATCACATCACATCACATCACATCACATCACATCACATCACATCACCCGTGTGGCCCAGCTGACAATGACCTCCTACCGCCATAGCAGACCTGTACCTGTGGTCCGAGTCCATCGAGCTGTATCACGAGGAGCCCAAGTGAGTGCCGCTCTCGTCAACTCTTGCTCACCATCCTCATGTGGCCTATGCCTGCTTTGCCACCCCAGACCACCCATAGCGACCCCTACCTGCACCGCTGCCTCCCCACCACCCGTGTGCTTCATGTGCTGTTTCCCCCATGCCCCTGAGCGCCACAGGTTGGCGGTGGGATGGCTAACAATCAGTGCCATGCGAGCATCCAATCTACGCAACCTGGGCCTTGTCAGAACCAGCGACCCCTACCTGCATTACTACCTCACCAGCACATGTGTGGTCTATGCACTGCCCCCTGCCCTACTCCCAGGTTGGCAGTGGGGTGGCTAACCATAAGCGCCATGAGCGCCAGCAACCTGCGCAACCTGGGCCTTGTGGGAACCAGCGACCCCTACCTGCACTTCTACCTGACGAGCAGCCTGGGCAGCCGCGAGTCGAGTGTGAAAGACAACGACCTCAACCCCGACTGGGGAGAGGAGGAGTTGAGGCTCAAAGTGCTGGACCCAGCTACACAAAAGCTGCACGTGGAGGTGTTTGATAAGAACACGGTGAGAGGCTTGCCTTGCCTGTGCTTTTGGGTCGACTCACTATCAGCCTGGGGGGTCGCGAGTCGAGTGTGAGGGACAATGACCTCAACCCCGACAGGGGGGATGAGGAGCTGCGACTTAAAGTGCTGGACCCCGCTACACAGAAGCTGCATGTGGAGGTGTTTGATAAGAACACGGTGAGGAGTGTGGTGTGGTGAGGCAGCACGTGTTTGCTTGCATTGCCATTGAGTCGAGTGTGAAAGTCAACGACCTGAACCCCGACTGGGGAGACGAGGAGTTGAGGCTCAAAGTGCTGGACCCCGCTACGCAGAAGCTACATGTCGAAGTGTTTGATAAGAACACGGTGAGAGGCTTGCCTTGCCTCTGCTTGATAAGAACATGGTGAGAGGCTTGCCTTGGGTTGCAGTGGTGGCTTTTGGGACGACTCACGAGCAGCCTGGGCAGCCGAGAGTCAAGTGTGAGGGGCAGCTGAGGTCGAAGCAAAAGCCGCCGAGTGAACCCGCCACTCAGAAGCTGCACGTGGAGGTGTTTGATAAGACCACGGTGAGGCATGCCTTTGCTCATGGCCACAGGGTTTGGTGCGCAGCTGGTGGGGACTGTTGGACTGTGGGTGGGGGCTGTTGGACAGTGGGACTGTTGGTGGGACTGTGGGACTGTTGGTGGGACTGTGGGACTGTTGGTGGGACTGTGGGACTGTTGGTGGGACTGTTGGTGGGACTGTTGGTGGGACTGTAGGTGGGACTGTTGGTGGGACTGTGGGACTGTTGGTGGGACTGTGGGACTGTTGGTGGGACTGTGGGACTGTTGGTGGGACTGTTTGACTGTTGGTGGGACTGTTGGATTGTTGGTGGGACTGTGGGACTGTTGGTGGGACTGTGGGACTGTTGGTGGGACTGTGGGACTGTTGGTGGGACTGTGGGACTGTTGGTGGGACTGTGGGACTGTTGGTGGGACTGTGGGACTGTTGGTGGGACTGTGGGACTGTTGGTGGGACTGTGGGACTGTTGGTGGGACTGTGGGACTGTTGGTGGGACTGTGGGACTGTTGGTGGGACTGTGGGACTGTTGGTGGGACTGTGGGACTGTTGGTGGGACTGTGGGACTGTTGGTGGGACTGTGGGACTGTTGGTGGGACTGTGGGACTGTTGGTGGGACTGTGGGACTGTTGGTGGGACTGTGGGACTGTTGGTGGGACTGTGGGACTGTTGGTGGGACTGTGGGACTGTTGGTGGGACTGTGGGACTGTTGGTGGGACTGTGGGACTGTTGGTGGGACTGTGGGACTGTTGGTGGGACTGTGGGACTGTTGGTGGGACTGTTGGACTGTTGGTGGGACTGTTTGACTGTTGGTGGGACTGTTGGATTGTTGGTGGGACTGTGGGACTGTTGGTGGGACTGTGGGACTGTTGGTGGGACTGTGGGACTGTTGGTGGGACTGTGGGACTGTTGGTGGGACTGTGGGACTGTTGGTGGGACTGTGGGACTGTTGGTGGGACTGTGGGACTGTTGGTGGGACTGTGGGACTGTTGGTGGGACTGTGGGACTGTTGGTGGGACTGTGGGACTGTTGGTGGGACTGTGGGACTGTTGGTGGGACTGTGGGACTGTTGGTGGGACTGTGGGACTGTTGGTGGGACTGTGGGACTGTTGGTGGGACTGTGGGACTGTTGGTGGGACTGTGGGACTGTTGGTGGGACTGTGGGACTGTTGGTGGGACTGTGGGACTGTTGGTGGGACTGTGGGACTGTTGGTGGGACTGTGGGACTGTTGGTGGGACTGTGGGACTGTTGGTGGGACTGTGGGACTGTTGGTGGGACTGTGGGACTGTTGGTGGGACTGTGGGACTGTTGGTGGGACTGTGGGACTGTTGGTGGGACTGTGGGACTGTTGGTGGGACTGTGGGACTGTTGGTGGGACTGTGGGACTGTTGGTGGGACTGTGGGACTGTTGGTGGGACTGTGGGACTGTTGGTGGGACTGTGGGACTGTTGAAAAGCTAGAAGAGATACATTGAATAATGAGCCAAGAGGCCCTTTAGTACAAACAATGAGCAAGAGAGAGATGAAAGGGAAGCTTACCCTATTGGCCAATAAGTTGGCCAATGGGTGAGCTTGCTTGTGACCCAAGCAACCACAAATGTGTGTTGGTTGGGATTGGTTGAGCTAGGGACCAATCCCAACCAACCACAAAATGTGGTTGGAGGGTACACTAAACAATTTATAAGTGTACTACAGATCTAATTCTAGCCTATGTATGTTGTACAAATTATGAAATTACAACACAACCCCCCAACATGCATAAGGCTAGAAGGCTAGAATCAAGAGGCGGGAGGCGACTTAGGAGGAGTGAGGCCAAGAAGACGAAGTAGGAAAGAGTGAGCGACATGAGGAAGAGCTTTTGTGAAGATGTCGGCAAGGTTGGCCGCCGAGTCAACCTTGTCGAGCCGAAGGTGCCCCGCCTGAACAAGATCGCGAATGAAGAAATGACGGAGCTCAATGTGCTTGGAACGCCCGTGAAACACGGCATCTTTGGTGAGGTGAATGGTACTGGCATTGTCACACCAAATGGTGGGACAGCGCTGGGGGGCACCAAGTTCCTCAAGGAGGAAGGTGAGCCAGCGGGCCTCTTGCGCAGCCATGGTGGCGGCATACAACTCCGCCTCGCAGGAGGAGAGGGCGACAGCCGAGGAGCGGGTGGAGCGCCAGCTGATAAGGCCGCTGCCAAGAGAGAAGCCATAGCCCTGGGAGGAGCGACGATCTGGCTGGGAATCAGCCCAGGAGGAGTCACTGTAGCCGCTGAGGGTAGGTGGGGAGGGGCCGCCGAGGGTAAGGACATAGTCCTTGGTGCCACGAAGGTACCGGAGGACACGCTTGGCGGCCTGCCAGTGCTCTTCCGTATGCTTGCCTGCGCCAACAAAACGAGCGAGGACGCTGATGGGGTAGGCAAGGTCAGGGCGAGTGGAGACCATGGCGTACATGAGGGAGCCGATGAGCTCGGGATAAGGATGGGAGGAGGCTGAGGGGGAGGTGGGTGGAGAGAGGTGGTGCCCGACAGAAAGAGGAGTAGGTTGGGCGCCGCCGCGGACCATGTCAAACCGCTCCAAGACCTGCTGCAAGTAATGACCCTGGGAGAGAGAGATGGTGCGGGCGGAGCGATCGCGGGTGATTGTCATGCCCAGGTAATGCTGCAATTCGCCCAAGTCCTTGCACTTGAGACGGCTGCCCAACTCAGCCTTAACACGCTCCAACTCGCTGAGGTCGGCAGTGAGTAGAATCATGTCATCGACATAGACAAGGATGTAGAAGGGGGAGGGGGAGGCGCGGAGGAAGAGGCTGGCGTCAGAACGGGAGGTGCGGAATCCAAGTTCAGCAAGGGTGGCGGCAAGCTTAGCATGCCACTCCCTCGGGGCCTGTCGGAGCCCATACACAGGGCGACGCAGCTGCCAGACAGAGTCCGCAGGGAAGGGAAGGTGAAAACCGGCAGGACGCTCCATGTAGATAAGCTCGCGGAGGACGCCTTGGAGGAAGGCGTTAGAGACGTCCATCGAGTGGATCTCCATATTGAGGCGAGCGGCGAGGTCGAGCACGGCGCGAACAGTAGCGGGCTTGGCAGTGGGGGAGAAGGTATCGAAGAAGTCAAAACCATACCGCTGCGTGAACCCCTTGGCGCAGTAACGAGCCTTGTAGACGGGCGGCTCCCCTGGCAGTTGTTTGACGCGAAACACCCACTTCCCCTTCACCACGTTCGTAGAGGAGGGAGGGCGAGGCACATCAACAAAGGAGGAGTTGGCGACAAAGGCCTCCAGCTCCTTGATAATGGCGGCGAGCCAGAGTGGGGCGTCGGGGCAAGCCATGGCCTCCTCATACGTGGTAGGGATGAAAACGGAGGGAGCAGAGGAGAATGCGAAGACAGGTGTCCCAGAAAGGTCGAAGGTGATGGGTAGAAGGGAAGGGTCACAGAGGTGGAGGTCAAGGAACTCCTCATGGGAGTCCTCAGAGAGGGAGGTGTGGAAGGAGCGGATGACCGTTGGTGCCGCTGGTGCTGCTGCACGTGCCGCTGCTGGTGCCGCTGCTGGTGCCGCTGCTGGTGCCGCTGCTGGTGCCGCTGCTGGTCCTGCTGCTGGTGCCGCTGCTAGTCCTGCTGCTGGTGCCGCTGTTGGTGACGCTGCTGGTGCCGCTGCTGGTGCCGCCGCTGGTCCTGCTGCTGGTGCCGCTGCTGGTCCTGCTGCTGGTGCCGCTGCTGGTCCTGCTGCTGGTGCCGCTGCTGGTCGTGCTGCTGGTGCTGCTGCTGGCGCCGCTGCTGGAGAGGTGGCAGCGGGGGCTGCTGCAGGGGGAGGTTGATGCAGAACAGCCTGGAAGAAGTGGTGAAGGAGAGGGGAGAGTGGGGGGAGGGTAGAGGTAGAGAGGGTAACAGGGGGCGGTGCACCAAGGATACTGTCTTGTGACCTGGTATGGGGGTACCGGGTTAGTACAGTGCGGGGAGGGGGGGAAGGACGAGTCGGCAGCGAGGGAGGTGAAGGAGGGGCGGGAGGGGCACTAGGAGAGGAATGTGTGGGGGAGACGGGAGAGGACAGAGGTTCCGGGTCAAATATATCACCAGACAAGGGAGGGGCACCGTGGGACGAGGACGACGGTGGGGGAGGGGGAGGGAGGATGGGGGGAGGAGGAAGTAGAGGGGGAGGGGTGGTGTCAGACCAGACAAGGGGACGGGGAAGACGGGGGAGTGGGTCAGTGGATGGGGGAGAGGAGTAGTAAGGATTGGACTCATCAAAGACCACATCCCTACTGCGGAATAGACGACCTGAGGGGGGATGGAGGAAAAGGTAGTCAGGTGAGGAGGAGTTATGACCAAGAAAGATGCAGGGAAGGGTACGAGGGGCAAGCTTTCCCATAGAACGGGAGCGGTCAGCGGGGTGAAGAAGGACATAAGCCTTTGAGCCCCAGACACGAAGAGATGAGACATCAGGCTTGTTGTTCGTCCACAGCTCAGTGGGGGTGGTGGATG